TTAGATGGGGAAATGGATTCTGTACTCTGTTGCTGGGCATACGAGCAAACAATGGAAATGCCAAAATGACGAATGTCCTCCAATTCATTTTGCATACTTAATTTGCAGAAAACTGCAGAAGCCTACATAGGAAATTCCTGCAGGATTAGCCTGAGAAGTGTTGAATAGAATGATTCAAACTCTTCCAAATATTTAGCAACTCAAACACTCTGTGATTGTTTTTAATGACATATCAGAGCTTCTTTGAACAGGCTGAAAATTTATGTAGCTGGGAGAAATAATTTGTGTATGACTTGGTCTCCCTTTTATGTACAAAACCTGTTAGCTGAATAGGTTAACACCACATGTTATTCTACTTAAAATTTATTCGAGAAGAAGAGAAGGGTGAGCTCTCACCTAACAAGGCTGAAAGACAAGGGGCAATGCAGGCTTGCTTACTGAGGCCAGAGAGGAGCCAGAGTTTCCCTCTGTTCTGATTTGCAAAAGCAGATTTATTTTTCCTGCATCTTTAGTGTGAAATACAAAAGGCGATTGTATCAATGGCAAAATTCCTACAGACTTTATTGAGGCCAGTTTTTACTTCTGTGTGGTTTTGATTTTGAAATGTACTTACAAGTTACGTGACGCTTAAGTCCTGTCTCATTGAAGATTACAGTTTTATTTATCGAAGTTCCTCACTAAATTTAAAAATGTGAGACCCTTGTTCTTTGCAGGCATGTTAGTATTTTTCAGTGTAATTTAATTACTTTGTTATGGGTTTACAGCAAAATGTGGTAAGAATTTGTGATAGAACAAATAAGCATTTGTGATAAGCAAATTGTGATAAGCAATTTACTGTCAAAAAGCACTACTGTTCTCTATAAGAGGAAAACATGTAAGATTTTACTGGTGTAATTCTTATATAAATATACATTCTTTCACATGAGAAATTAATAGGATTGCTTATGTGGGTAGGTGCTCATCACTTTGAGTATGGATGGCAAAATCAAAGTCCAGATAAGGAATGTGAACCAGACTCAAATACAACAGGGGTGATTGAAAGTGATTCTTAATTTGGAATTTCTTGGAGAAAGACCAGACTATAATTATATTTTCTTAACATAATTTCCTCAGCAGTTTCAATAACTGCAATAGAAAAAGCTGATGCAGGTTTCCATATAAAAAAATTATTTGTCCTTATTTGTTTAATAATATCTAAACTGAACGTGTTTAACATTTCCACTATCCAAATTCTCTACAGCAAGAACTACAACATTAAGTTTCAGCTAGCTGAAAATTCAGTCTGCAATCCTTTTTTCATCCGAAGCAAATTTATACCCCAAAATGCAAAATTAAAAAAAAAAATCATGTATTAATGCTATTAACTTTTGCTTTGTTTCTCAATTTTTAATATCTTGTGAAACAGTGCTAAATCATATGCCAAGTAATAACAATAAGCAATGATTTATGAGGATACATACAGAGGTTTTTTCATGCTTACATGGCTTTTATACTTCTATTGTTCTCCTTCTTAACCATGATTTCAGTTCACAGTGGTGCTCTGGGGTTGTAATACTTGTGGTTTTGTAAACCTTGAAGTATAGGAGGGCATAATATATCAATGAAAGTTTACCTTCTTTTGGGCTCTAATTCCTCGTAGAGCTGTCTATTATTCATGAAAATGTACAATTCATTTAAGTCTTACCCATGTACGCACAAAACATCATGTATAAGTAATTTTTTTTTCTTTTTTCTCTGTTACTTAAAGTATTTTATGATAAAAATCTGTAAGGAGACTATTTCATTTCTGAATCCTAATTAAAGGCAAGATCTGGATTATCAATATGTAGACTTTAGACAGAGGCATTGCGATTTGTAAAGTCATGGGTATTTGTTGGAATTTTAAATGAAATCACTCCAACACAGAAGTTTACATCAGAATTTAACCTGATGGCTGTAAAAACTTTGTGCTATTTTCCGGCATGGCCGCAATTCCCCTTTTCTTTTTATTGCACAGCAGCAGGGCTTGCCACGAGCCTGGTGTCACGTCAGACGGAGAGGAGAGGCAACGCACAGCGCTGAAAGGGCACCACTGCGTCAGCTGATGAGGCCCCGCGCCACAACCTCTACAGCGGCTGCAGGTCACGGATGGAAACTCTGTCAGACCCGCAGCACTATAGGGTAAAATTTGAAGGTGCAACCTGTGTTTCACTGGTAAAAGCCAACCACCGCGCTGTTCCTATTGACAAGATTAATTAGACAACTAAATTGCTACTTTTATCTTAGCAGTGCAATCAAGAACTGAAAGAGTGCAAGGAAGATACAAATGGATGAAAAGCTGTATAAAGAGAGAAACCAGCCCACTTCATTTTGTTTTTTTTTGTGCAACCTGTGTTCCTTTAGCACTGTTATTCTGTGTTTTAATCTTTTCAGGTCTTTACATGTGAGTGTTGTCATGGGCAGATGGAGGATGAGAAACCCAATGCCCATTTATTGAATTGCCTTTTCTCGTTTGAAATGTAGTCTTTAAAAAAACCCAAACCAAACCACAAAATCCCTCACCTTCTTACTCTACAGTATATTCATTATCAGATCAGCTCACACTACTAATTAAGTTAAATTCAACTGCTAAATAACTCCCAAAGAGCCGATTTATCTAAGGTTGTATGAACACATATTCATTTCTCCTTATACATCACCAGATGTTATTAATTAAATTCTAGTCACTTCAGACTGCAAGTTTGAAATAATTGCCACTATGGAAACACTTTTACACTGTACTTAACCGTGAGTTCAGCTGCTACTTTACTGATATTGATAGTAATACGAATATAGGTAGACACTACTCTAGTTATATCATTGAGCATTTGCGAGATATTCAGGGGAACGTGCGGAATTTTCAAATTCATTTCTTGAATGTAAAAAGCTTTGTCATAAATACACATTAAGTGCAGAACTGAGTTTGATGAGTTTCTGTAAAGAAAACGTCTCCTCACTGAAGGTGTAACATACCTTTCAAGTTCAGAGGAGAAGGCAGCAGCAGCGATTTTCCCCTCTGCAACAGCTCCTCTCAGCTAGCTGCTGTACTGAGGTGAGGGGTGAAGGGATGTTCACAATCTGCTTCCTCGCTACCCACCTTCCACCTACATCTTATGAAGCGTCTGTGGGCTGATGCTTTGACAACCAGTAGGTCTCTGCTACGCAAAGACTACCAGTATGAAGAGGTATTAGGATGAAAAGGTGTACTTTGTGCTCCCTTAAGCTTCTGTACAAATACATTGCATTTAAATAGGTATCGCAGCAGAAGGTTCAAAGAGATCTTCATTACAGATAATGAATAATATTCTTGCTTGTAAAAGTTTTGCAACAAAATTGTCCTTTGGATGCATTTCTTAGCCCACTGGTAAAACTGAAATAGTCTCTCCTGAAATCAACTACGCTTTCTCAAGTTTCAGTCGTCATAGTACCATGTAAGAGAAATTAAAATCTTAAGTTCTAAAATATTTATTAGTCTCATATTTCAGCAGAAGTGTGAATAAAATCTGCATACTTCCACAAGTAAAATTCTTGCATTTGTAGTAATACACTTCAATATGTTGCATCCTGCAAAGTTACTTGGTATAGATATTAAACTATTACTGGATATATCAAGCTTTGCTTTCCTTTATTGCAAAGGCCATTTATAAGAAAGAAAAGATTGCAGAGAATGAACAATGTTCCATACATTTATCTCACTTCATGTATATCATAACACATTTACTATCTTTTTGACAAAGGAAAGACCTATCAAGAACATAAGAGGAACTCCAACTTCTCTACAAATAAACTTTTTAAAATTATTATTATTATTTTGTTCATGAAAAAATATCAGTGATATGATAAATATTTTTAAGGTGATCTACAAGCACAACTTTTTTCACAAACAACTTCTGAAGGTTATTTTCTTTTTTCCATTCCTGTTAGTTAACTGTAAGTCTATAACCATGATTAGAAATTCGCTTTGTCTTTGTTGTATTGGGGATGATGGGAAACAAATGCTGTACCCTTTACTGAGTCATCCATTTAATTCACAGCTCACCTGCTGATTTTAATTTATGTGATAATTTACAAAACAAAACATTTCATGTCTTTCATCTATACACTGTGTTTCACTTATTTTCATGAAAACATGTACTTTGTTTTCTTGCATTTGGTACTCTTGTTTGCGAGCAGTTTCTAACCTCCTATCTGAATGTAAATTGCTTATGCAAACAGATTAGTAAGAGAGAAGTGAAATGGTATCCTTAAGACAATTGCAAGTAATACAAAGGAATATTTTTATGATAGTTGTTATTTTTTTAAAAGTGAAAACAATACTATTAACTAAGGTCTACATTTTAAATGTAACAATTATTTCAGTTTCCTAAAAGATACAAATCAATTTCAGCCTAAGAGCAGTGAATCATCATCATCAAGTTATGTTAATTACAGCATTTAAAGTCTTAAGCAAATAACTTAGAATCTAAACGTATGAAAGAGAACTGGAGACAGAAAAAGATTATATATATATATACAGAAGGTCTGTAAGTTAGTCAAATCAATAGTTCATATATATGATCTACTAAGCAAATTCACCAAGAATAGCTCTTATTCCTAGAACTATTTTGTTTTAATCTTGCAACTCATATAGCCACTTTATGTTGATTTAATTGGGCACCCTGAGGTTGCCCAAATACATACATAATCGTATTGGAAGAAAATACTAAAACAACCTGACACTCATTAGCTACTGAGAAGCTACATTGAGCCAAATTGTCTATCTAGCTTTATGTGGTGATTCTGGGAATAATTTTCACCATTAGTTTACAAAATTACTAAAAGAAACCGGTTTTATGTAAATTTGGGAATCCTGCTGAGGTTCCTGACAATTGATAAAATGAAATGGAGAGAAAACAACCAGTGCAAATAAAAAACAATTTGCATGAATTCTAGTCAAATGGAAAGAAGCTAATGGACGTGGCATTTACTTATAAGGAACTTGCCTTGTAAACTGTAGATTTCTCCAACGCTGTTCTGCCGGGTGATGTGATGCCAGTATGCACTACGAGGAAGTGAGATCGACTTGGATAATGTCATTGGTTCAGACAGACTGGTCTGGAGCTAAAAACCAAAGCAAACATAAATGGAGGATCACACATAACCATACTTGATAGATAATCTCAAAACTGCAAATTGAACCAATGTTGTTATGAAGACATTATTTCCTGAATTACCACAGGTTTTATACTATTATTTAAACTGTGTTATAAGCATCAGCACTGTGAATGCTCAGGAAAAAGCTGTAAAAGTATACCTGGGTATATAGGTTCATTAGCACAGGTTAATGTTAGGACATAGGAATATGTCCCTATTTATCTACAGCTATTCTTGTTGCAGCCAGGATTTTGTTATTTTCTTCTTTAACTTTACAGTACCGATAGATTAGCATATGTCTGATATCTGAAACCCCTCTACAATCACATTTCTTTTTGGTCATTTAACCTGCATATTGGATTAAATACCCAGAAAGATGATAAGAGAGAATCTTAGACAACCAACAGAGAATCAGCAATGAAGAGTCATTAATCCCCTAATCCTCCATCCAAGTGGAGGGCATCTCATTACCAGTTAGCAGGCTACAGCCTCAAGTACAAATTTTCCCAGTCCGGCAACTTCATGTAACTGAAACTGTGAATTGCATGAAAAGTGTCCATGTGTTCAAGAGCTACAGCACAGAAACCTGACAGGAGGAATGTAAACTTCATTAAAGAGAGCTCGGTCTCCAATGCACTATAGATGTGACTTAAAGATAGGACTAGGCTATAGCAAAAAAAGAATGATGGAGGATTGTGCACCCTGACAACCTCTTTGGATGTACCTGTATAACTTATGCTTTCTCTGTCCAGAAGAAAAGAGAATGCATCTGCAAATTATAGTCTTGAGGCAAAAGTCAAAACATTTTATTAGTATGCATTCTGAAAAAAAAAAAAAATTTCCAGTAAAGGGAACCACTTTGACTACGGTTCATTATCTCAAAGCTAAATCCATGGACTGAATTGAAGTGGTTAAAGTTATATCATTATTCCTGATCTGAGGTGATTAGTTCCTGCCTGATCTGACCAACACTGATGCAGAAGAACTTTATATGCACACATTAAAGCTTTGAAAAAAATAATAATAAAAAATCCATTCTCATTATAAATTAAGGTAAGAACTGCTCTAGTGCAGGAGATCGCATTGTGAGTGTTCACAGTACTTTGTTTCCTCAGATTCTCTAATTAAAGAACAACTTCTGATACCACTTTTTGGGAAAGAAGTATCACCATGTGTTAACTGCAATGGGACCAGATGAACTACATTTCTTTGGGGACTCCAAGGAGAGAAAATGCATTTTATATTTTATTAAAATATCATCCTCAAAAAAACCCCCCAAAACAAAAAAAACCCTTCAAAATACATTGTCAATTTTGTTTTTCATTTGAAACTTTAAAATGTAAACATAAGCATATGGATTTGAAGACCTTATCCCCTTGTACATCATATAAAGGATGATAATATAATTGCACATTAATTTGTCCATGAAGTTCTACAAATATCTTACTAATTCTTAGATCTCTATTAGCTATAGTTTTGCTTTTTATCTTTTTAATCAATATAAACCCCACATTACTGGTCAAATGTAATTGACAATGAAAGAATGCTTATTCCTACAAACTGCTGTTTGTAAAAATATTTCTGTGTTAAAAAAAAAAAAAAAAAGGCTAATCTACTGACAGAAACCTACTTTCTCTAGAGACCATCTTATATGCTAGACTGTGGGTGTTTCAGATGAAAAAACTTGAAACCAAGATGAAGAAAACAGGTATATAAACATCCATATAATCAGTTGTTCATATATTACTAAATAGCTTTTTGATAAATAAATTATTACAGGTTAAAATAGAATTTAATGTACAGAGATCTAGTGTTTTTTAAGCCCTTTTTCCCAGCTGTAAATGAACTTCCGGTAGTTAACAATGTTAAAACAGAAAAAAAGCAAACAAACAATTTGTAAATCAGGGGAGATGAACCAGAACTGTTTATTTGTTAAATAATTAGTCAATCAGGTTTGAGACTTCTGGTGTTCCAGACCAGTGGAAGAGATCACTCTGGGTAAGTTCAGAGACTTTATCTTAGATACTCTTCCCTTTTATCTTTTTATTATGCCTTACAGAAAACCAACTGACTTCTCTACCCTTCCCTGAATCACTGTGGTGGTTTAACCCCAGCCAGTAATTAAGCACCACACAGCTGCTTGCTCACTTCCCCACCCTCAGTGGGATGGGGAGGAGAATGGAAAAAAAAACAACCCCAAGCTCATGGGTTGAGATAAAGACAGTTTAATAGGATAACAAAGGAAGAGAATAACAATAACAATAAATAGGATAAATAAAACAAGTGATGCACAAACACAATTGCTCACCACCTGCAGAGGAATAAAACAACCTGATACCCAGTCAGTTTCTGAGCAGCGATCCTGCCTCCTGGCTAGCTTCCCCAGTTATATACAGAGCATGACGTCATATGGTGTGGAATATCCCTTTGGTCAGTTGGGGTCAGCTGTCCTGGCTGTGTCCCCTCCCAACTCCTTGTGCACCCCCAGCCTACTCACTGGTGGGGTGGTGTGAGAAGCAGCAAAGCCCTTGGCTCTGTGTCAGCACTGCTCAGCAGTGACAAAAACATCCCTGGGTTATCAACACAGTTTTCAGCACCAATGCAAATCATAGCCCCATACTAGCTACTATAAAGAAAATTAACTCTATCCCAGACAAAACCAGCACAATCAGCTAATTCAGAGAACATTTCACTATGGAAAATCAAGTAAATAAACTTTTAATTTTCTTCTTTTCTCAAAACCACTTAAAAATTAAATCAACATTTCTGAGTATGGATCTCTTCTTATGTAAAAGGCCAATGTTTAGCTATTTCTTCCAACACTGGCACATTTTCCTCAGGAGCTGGCAAAACAGGCTCAGATGCATTAGCATCAATCACACAGAAAAGACCCATAATGGCAGAGGTAGCACAGACACATACAAGAAATAAACACTTTGATCTGGGAATGAATTTGAGGTAATTCTGCACCGCTACTCTGTTGTGTTGGGACTCCACCTGGAGTACTGCATCTAGCTCTGGGGTCCTCAGTACAAGAAAGACATGGACCTGTTGGAGAGGATCTAGATGATGGCCACAAAAATGATCAGAGGGCTGGAGCACCTCCCCCATGAGGACAGGTGGAAAGAGTTGGGGTTGTTCAGCCTGCAGAACAGAAGGCTCTGGGAAGACCTTACTGCAGTCTTTCAATACTTAAAGGGGGCTTATAAGAAAGATGGAGACAAACTTTTTGGTAGGGCCTGCAGTGATAGGACAACGGGTAATGGTTTTAAACTAAAAGAGGGTAGAATCCGACTAGTGTACAAGGAAGAAATTTTTTATGACGAAAGTGGTGAAACACTGGAACAGGTTGCTCAGAGAGGTGGCAGATGCCTCACCCCTGGAAACATTCAAGGTCGGTTGGATGGCTCTCTGAGCAACCTGATCTAGTTGAAGATGTCCCTGCTCATTGCAGGGGGGCTTGGACTAGATGACCTTTAAAGGTCCTTTCCAACCCGAACAATTCTATGATTTCACTGAGGGTTTTTTTGCAGTCTTGCATCTATGAACTGACCTTAATCTTCTTTCTATGTACAGAAATACAGAAGAAAGTAAAAGCAGTATACCAAATTAAAAATACATATTAATGTAGCACTAAATGTTACAAATATTTCTCAAATCTGATGAGACTTCAGGAAATGAAAAATATAATCCAGACTTTTTTTGCCCAATTTAAGAGGGAGAAAATGATGATGTAATTAGAACTTGGGGGAAAAAAAATATAAAATGCATACCTTAAAACCATATCAACTCAGGGATTTTTGTTTGATGCAAATATAAAAAAAATTCCATCACTGAAGCGTTTTTGTTATCTGACATGAAATACCTAGCAGTTAGGTTTCCTACAGTGTCCTCCAGAATCTTTGATAAGATACCTTTCAGACAGTGAACATTACATTTCTTTCCTGTATCCAATTTTATATCCAAACCGAAAATATCCAAAATATTAAGTCGTATGAAGCCTTTGCATTGCCAGCAACTACTTTATAATTCTTAAAGGACTATTTGATTAAAATAGAAATAAAAAATAAACAAATCTATGAATGTGTCACTGTAAGTGGTTGTCCATATTTTTCATTACTGTTCTTTCATGAGACAAGGCTTAAGGGATAATTTTTTTTTAATTCCCATAGGCCATCTCCACTGACTTAAATAGATTTGTTACTCTGATATCAATAATAAATACAATTCCAAGAATGGAGCCTGTTAAATGTATTCATGTTCTGAGCTTTGATCTGTTTAGCGTATTATTCTCTCATTTTCTTTTTGCATTAAAAGAGTCAAAACACTGAAGGTGACAGAAAATACATTTGGCTTGAGGAGAAGAACTGAACAATATACAGACCATTCCATTTTTTAGCCTGCAATAAAGGCAATTTGCTTTTACAGATATGCTCTGGAAATAGGTTAGTTTATTAAGGATAAAAAACCCCAGCTCATTTCACATTCTCATTAGTCTTTAAACAAATAGCAAGAGAACTAGGTCACAGAAGACTAATGAGAATTGTAGTCTGGAAATATGAATTAAATATTACTATTTAGATTTTTTTCTTTATAACTGTAAAGAAGGTTGCTTTGTGTGTATGCCTTGAAGAGGAAGAGGGGTCAAGAAATATATTTCACTTCTCAAGAGTCCATTAGCTGACAGTGGAATAGCATAGACTCATTTCACTGGTATCTACAGTGAAAAATTACAAGAGTTTAAGATTCACACAATCTAGAAGTTATCATCATCTGAGGTACCAGCTCAGCTATCAGATGAGTTACAGAACAAGCAGGAGGAAAGAATTTCTTTTTTAAGGAATTTTCAGTAACGACCAAGAAAAAGGTGTCATATTTGCCTTTTTTTTTCAAAAGCAAATATTGTTGTCTCATGTTCAATTTGTGTATTATGACACATAGACCTGTTCTACAAAGAGCAGTTCCCA